ATAATATACTCGTACAGACGACGTACAAAAAAAAAAAAAAGAACTTATAATAACAATATTATTTATATCGTTCACATCGCCGGTGTTGAAATTGTGGATTATCGGTTTTGTCTTTATTCTTTAATGTAGTATAAAGGCAACAGCAGCTGTTTTGTAAAAAAAAAAAAAAAAAAAAAAAAACGGTTTTTAATTGCTAGCACGTTAAATTTCTCATACAGTTTCTTGATGTGGTAAACGCGGCTTTTGTTCAACATCGATTTCAAAATGTTATTTTCGGCTGATTTGCAATTTTTTATACGATTTGTGTTGTATCAGTGGGGTATCCGAAGCCCCTAATTTAAGGGGGGAAGCCAACTGATAAGACTACGGTACTTATAAAACCGTAATTGGAAATAAGAAGGGCTATAAAATGCATTTAATTTACTTAATGTTCACTTATATTTATTTTTTTTTTACTTTCAAACCATCGTACAATTGTACAACTGAACAACTTAATTTTAGACACGGGTTTTTTTTTTTTTTATTATATAACTATTACGAATTAATGATACGTCTTGTCCGTTGAAAATAATTGCGAATTTCTATACATTGATATAAAAATGTTTAATTTATTATTATAGGTGCGTGCGTTTGTATGGGTTAGAGTGGCTAATTAAATGTGATAAAATACCGTACGTTGAAATTAACGATGTCGCGAGTTTCACTAAACTAACACCCCGGCAGTTATTTTGTTATTAGTGTTAACTCTTATTGCATAGTTTCGTATAACCAGGCGGTTTTTGAAATTTTCCGAAAGGCCCCCGAGAGACCGAATGATATAATATAGTGGGTTTTTTTTTTCTTTTGGTCGGCATTTTTTAAAACACATTCAAAAATTCGATTTCACACATTTAGATACGCGTGACGATTGTAAACGTTTCGAATACACGAGTGTTTCAAAAAAAAAAAAAAAGAAAGAAAGAAAATCGCTCGCGTATATTATAATGCTCTCGATAAATAACAACGACACGAGTAAAGCTGCAGTATTGTTTGTTATTATTATTTTTTTTTCAATCACAAACGAGACAATATAATAAAGGGGGAAAAATAGAATGTTATTTTGGGCGTCTGTTCGTCGCGGTGTAGATTTTTTTTTACTGTCTTCGAGAGATGTCAACTACGCAGTAATATTATTGTTTTATATTATTGTCGGTGATAATGTTTCGATGTCTGATTGTGAACGTCAAGTGCCAAACCACAACAAGAACTTAACTTCAAATTAACGAACACGAGAACGATTTTTTATTCAGACTCGTAATCTTAATGTTCGGAATTGATATTGGATCCGAACGGAACTTTATAGTACACTAAAAATCCGAATGTATCATAACTCTGGATAAACGTTATAACATTCAATTGTATTTTTCGTATCTCTCCCTGCAAAAAAGTGTTTTTTTTTTTCTATTTGACTGTTTCTAACTAAAACTCAAACTACCGTTTGTTTCGATTATTGACAGTCATTTTTGTTTGATTTCCGAACCGAATTGGACTAAAAGAAATACATAAAACGATTGTCGACGGAAAAAAAAAATAAAAAAACTAAATCGAGATAAGCCTGACACAGAATGTGAAATGTGCGGCGCGTTTTTAAAACGGTGTCGGGCTTAAGCAGCGCGACCGGCGCGTTTAAAGTATTTTCTGCTCGCCGCGCAGCGTTTTTAGAAAAGTAAGCCTGTGGCGTTTTTCGTTTTGTTTCGTTTCGTTTAAATGACCTTTTTATTCTTTTTTTTATATTTTTGTGTGATATTTTTTTTGTTTTTCGCCGACACATGTAATACACGTCTGTCCATTATTTACAGTGGCGCAACGTTAGTGAATAAGATGAGGGGAGGGGAAACGAAATCGAGATAGGTATGTTTTTCGAAAAATATCTGCCGTTGAAAACCTTTCATCGATTGTGTTCGACTTCTTAAAACATTGATACGGTCTTGACAAATAAAGCAGAGTTGGATTAAAGGCGAGAGGTATTGATAAAAAATCGAGCCCTTTTCCCGAATTGGTGGCTCCTGTAAAATTAAAAAAACTTATTTCCCCGTTTATTTTAACTATATTTTTGAATAGCAATAAAATTATGACAGTTTCATGGACGAAAGATAAATTTCGACATTTTTTCTTCCTGGTTTTTATAGATATGGCATAGGTGAAACGAAAGCGATTAGGTTAGGTCAGGAGCAGTTGCTTCTCAATTTATTTTAACATTTAGGGGTGGGTAGGTGTTCAATATGAAAATCACTAATTATTCATAGTACTCGTTTACTTCAAATTTATTAAAAATGGGTTGAAAATATTGCGAAGTATCGGGAATATCGGGAAAAATTGGTAAATGGGTATTGTGTAAATTATAGCCGATTGCTTCTGGGTCATTTTAGGTTCATTTCATCACTATGTGCATGTAATATCAGGTCAATTTTTCATCACAGGGAGGAAACGAAATATTACAATATTTTATATGACAATTTTGTTTTTAGAATTTAGTAGTTAAGAATTATACAATTATATTTTATGAAACAAACATGGACTATTTTACGGCATATGGGCTGGAGGGAAGGAGTTTATTGGTTGAACAAATGATTACCTAAATATAATATATAGTTATCACCAAGACTGGGGAGATGCACTAAATTTTAAATTTTAACATTTTCTTACAGTAAATACATTAAAAATTATTGATAATGCTAAAATAAAATGCTTTAAAAATATGAAAATGATATAAAAAAATTCATTTATTCTTGAAAATCGTATACAACATCGGGTCATATGTTTAACCCTGTGATGCACGAATCTACGAAGCTATGCGCTGGAGTACCTACTTAAAAAAAAAAAAAATACGCGAATGTAAGTAATATGGTACACACCCTTAATACTAATATTGGTTTAATCACAATTTGAGAAGCAATGTTCGTTATTTTTTTCCATGTTTAATGGAACGTATCCATAATACGTATTAGTATGTAGACTGCTGCAGTGCGGGCTTCTGAACTTATTTCGTGGCAGTTCCGCCCCCTCCCTCCGCTTACTTCTCGAACTTCCTCAATACCATCATTCAAAGTTATGTAATGTAATATTATTGTTTAATGATTGAGCGACGTGGTGTGCGTGTTCGACTCGACGACGACTGCGACGGTCTCCGCGGGACAAACGATATAGGGAGCAATAAAATGCGATCGTAAGTCGGTGAGAACGAAAACCGTTAGCGCCGCAGAGGTTAATAAACTCCGATGTAGGACTGTGGGGGGGGCGGATCTGTGTCGGTCCCTGCAGTCATGTTCCCCTTGTATCGGCCGATAACAAGGCCGGAAAAGGGCGAAATCGCGCGATCGGTCAATAAACCCGGCAGTGTGATTGAACGCGGCGAAAAATATAGGCTGTACGATGATCGCGAGGTCGGCGTATATGAGCGGAGGAGGGTGAAAAAAAAAAGAAGAAACAAGAAGTATATAAGTATATTATTATCGTGCGCGTTTTCCCGAACGGCGGCAGTGGCGGCGGTGCATCGTTACGAAACGGCGGCGGCGCCTCGACTTTTCGATAAATTATCTTCATTTTTTTTTTCTTTTTTTATTACTGCAATCGTATTGCTATAATACAATATACAGGGTGGTTTTTTTTTTTTATCACGATCCAGTGATTATATCTACGAACACATTCCGATTAAGATTGCAGATTTTTGTTTTGTTTTTATCGAATTTTCCTCGAAAACAGTGACTATTGCGCTGTATTGTGTCTGTTATGTATATGTGTATGTATTTTATTTATTTTTTTTTTTTTTATTTATAGGAGGATTGAAATGGTAACATTTCGGTTGAATTTTAGTATGAAACTCATAATGTTATTACGGAACCAGAGTGTTTTTTTTTATTTAACTATACACACTACTACAAACCTCCCAAACTAAGCCAGGAAGATGACATTTCGTACATACATTACACATAGTGTAAGCATCAAAGAAGCACCATCTTTTGGTGGTTCCAAATTTCACTCCCCTTAAACCGTTTACAATCATTTTAGTGAAGTATTTATGGGAATAATAGGGATACAGTTTCGATAACTGTGTTAAAATAAAAATTAAACAGTCCCGCGGTGATTGAAAAATTGACAGACATTGTATTTACTTAAAATTTCCTCCGAGAAATTTGGTGTACCGCGATAAAAAATAAAAAAGTTACCCTGTACAAGAGGTAGGCTGATATTTCTCGGCTGACAGACGATTCATGTATAAGTAATAAACGGTTTCTATAGTTATGTACTCGTATACATGTAATATATTATTAAATGGGTAGGGCGGAAAACGGTCTCCGAAGTCTGCTACTGCACTGTCTTACGATATATTTCCTCGTTATTTTTTCTTTCGGTACCATAATAGAAATATCGTAACATTTTTTCCGAAATGTTTTATACTGAGTTTTTTTTTTCCGAAACGCCTTGATTATTGCCTTCGGTATCATATACTACAAGGGGAATAAAAAGATCGAGAGCGACAAACAAAAATATTATCCTGTATCGATTGTTAAAATTATTATTATTATTACTGTCGTGGTAAAGAGCGTGCGTGCAATATATGGAAATTAAAAACCGTAAAAAAAAAAAGACAATAAAATGTCAAACCGCTTCACGTGGTGTTGTGTATATACTGCTGTGATGTGGCGGGTCTACGACCTTTGCAAAACGATATAAATATACGGGTCCGTCGGCTAATCGTTCTCATAAATATTTACACTGTGTTTGAAACGAAGACAACAGCCGAGAAACGTATCGAATAATCGAGCGAAAATATTTACCCAGCGTATGAGAAACACTACTTGGTTGTCAACAAATTTACAAGAGAATGGTAGTCACAGTGGAAAGCAACAATATAAATGCTGAAAAAATCGTTCAAATCTGATACTGCTCCAAAGAAGTTAGTTGTCTAAATCTTAAGTGGAAATATTTTTTAGTTTTAATTTATAGACGTTGAAAAACCACACCGGATAGAAACAATGGAGAGAAGGAGGGAAATTTAAAATTAATATTTTAAGAAGAAAAGTCGATAATGTGCAATGACCATAATGCGAATTAATCATATTTTTAAAGGGAACGATGGGCAACTGTGAAATATTGTGCCTTGACCCCTAATCCATTTTCCGACACCTAGAAATATCGAGAGTTTACATACCTACTTAAACAGTGTAATCAGCAGAGATTAGGGAAAATAATAAATATTACGGTCTTTTATAACACATACAACCGAACTCCGTTCAGAACTGTTTTTCATTAGAAATGATTAGTCGCAACGTATAAATGTACATTAAATTCCCCGTTATATCTTAGCTTCCCAACTTTTCACCTAAAACAGTGATAATCCCACCCATTGTACGGAGTATATCCATCTTTTTAATACCGTATTTATGGTGTATTTGGGAAAACAAGTACCAGAGATGATATCACAACATTTCTCCAATCATTATTTTTAATAACGACATTATTATTGCAATCTTCACTCGATGCTCGCATACCGACAATTTGGCAGCGTTGTCTCGAAACTCAAGTTTGTGCATTTTTTTTTTAGAAAATAAACATACAAGAACTGCAGATCGGACAATGAGAACAGAGCAAGATGTTTGGAATTCAAAATTTGTTCGCTGTTATTATATAACATACTTATGTAATATTATAATATTATTAATAATCATTTTTTTTTTTTTTCGAACAAATATTTATCATAGTACAGATAGCTCGATTTTATTAAATTTAGAGTTCGAGTGTTGATCAATATAAAAACAAATAAAAGCGTATACAATGAAATTACTATAGTTTATAATTGCAAAAAAAGGAAATAGAACAATACCCCGCAACTTTGTGTTGTATTCAAATTAAAATATCTACCAATAGAGTAATATAAGGAAAAATAACATCACGGTTCAACACAAAATATTCGTTTTTAGTTTACTGAAATTTAATATTTTTGATAAAATAGAATCGCAGCTACTGCAGCAGAACTTTGATATACGAGTAATGAGTACACTCGTAGTATTATTATTTGAAGCGTTTCGAATATAATTACGAAAATTATATTCGTATTAAAATTTCAAAATAACAAATTTAAATATAACGATTTGTATTACTTTAATGTTATGGAAAAAAAAATATTATTAGCATACATAATATCCTCGTGAGACACACCACGCGACTAAGGGGTAGGCGAATTATCCAGAAAAGTTTAATCACGTCACGTTATCCACAAGTTTGAACCTAAATATACTTATGTTTTTATCCAAAAGTTTGCACTAAAAAACTTGTTTTCAAGTGTTCACGTTCCAATTACGAAAAGCAAAAAAAAAACCGTTCTATACCTAACGATCGGTTTGGATTTCGGGTAGTCAACGATTCGCTAGACGCCACGTGCCGTCTTGTTGACCCCGTGTCCTTTATAATATTATCGATAGGTATAATGTAAAGGTGAACTATGAAAAATATAAACTATTTAAGGACCTAAACTGTCTCATTTTCAACTTCGAATCCGGTAGTTTGCAAATGAAAAAACCATTCTGAGTGGAGTAGTATCGATCGTGTTTTTTTTTCCAGATAACGCAGAAATAAAAAAAAAAATCAAATAACAAAAAAAAAAAGGCCTATACAGTAAATTGTTGAAAATGTTTTATAAACATTTCAAAATCTATAAAGTAACGTCGCGTTGGGTAGAAATTTCGCGTCTTTCGAGGTACAACGAGAAAAAATCAGAACATTTTTACTAACTAAAAAAGTTTTTCGAACAGAAAAAATAATGCGTACTCAAAAATCTGTAAAAATAGGCTGATGGGTAGACGCGGTGTTTTAAAAATTGAAATTTCTGCGGCAAAACGTTTCCTTCTAAGTAGGCGAATGTTCACGAGGCACACTCGAGTGACAACACAATTTAAATTACATTACAAATAATACGCGTCTGCATTGCGTGCACTACGTGTCTGGTTATCGAAAACCCATCGACGATTTGATTTCGACCGTAGGTTAGGTATAATATTTAAGTGCATAATATAAAACATATACCGGGTATATACTGCGCGTGACATAACAATCAACGCGTAGCTATAAAAAAAAAAAGGAGAACTTTTTTTTTTAGTACTTTGTCAGTGAGTTGTCATTAAATAAGTAAAGTGAGAGTTAATTTTAAACATTTCTTAAAAAAAAAAATACCCAGATCGAAATAAAAACGTGCTTTCAACCTACCTATTATTACTGCGCAGTCTCTATTTGTGTGGTAGAAAAAAACTTTTGAAAGAGTTCTAATTATCCTTAAGTGGCAGCAGAACGCGCGGTATATTTCATAGAAGACATTTTTTTTTCACATAAAATTCAGTCGTACAAAGACGATTTTTTTTTTTTTTTTGAAGAGCGACCGTCTGTATGTTTTTATATACGAGTTTATATTTGAACACAGTCTTCTGTTCCTAGAGCAGAGGCAGCTAGATGATTCAAAATAGGAAAAAAGGCCATCCAATAAAGGGCGTCCTCAATGTGATTTTCAGAGGAGGGGCAAATCGGAACCGGGGTCTCCGAGCACATGTTTAAAGACCAATGTGGATATAAGAACACATGACCCGTAAAAAATGTTATGATAGGTCGATTACGAGTGGGTGAACCAACAAACATATTGGTTATGCTTTGTGCGCCGCCGTGCTTCATTGCTCACGAAAACAATTTTTTGCGGGTTTTAATATTTTCAAAGTGAGGTACACGTCCCTTCCTGACAAACCTTCACCCAATGGGCGTCCGTGTTTCCAATCGGATTCTTTTCGATTATCGCTTATTTTATCTCGTATCAAGTACTATCGCATTTCCACTAAGTAAACATACTCGCGAATAGTATTACGGTCGAAAAGCACGTAATTATTTCTAAACGAGTGAACTTTATTATTATTATTATTATTATTATTTATTTTAATAAAATAAACCGAATTCCTGCAGAATAATCCACGACGTATCATTACCGGAAATTCGTATTAAATCTACGGAGTAAGACGATTAAATTTATGTTAATGAGAAAGGTATTAGTATTGTTGTTGTATAACAAATCTATATTGTATTCGTTTAGTGATGTATACATAATAGAAGCTTATAGACCTACTGCCTATAGTAGAGTTGAGAACAGGAAACTGCAGATGCAAGTGAAAATCGGTAAAACGTATTAAACTGAACAAGAAAAATAAAACAATGATGAAAGGTCTTTTTTTTTCTTTTTTTTAATGATATTTGAAATAATATTTACGGTTAAATATTAAATGATTTGTACGGGTTTTGACATAATTTGAATTTCAATCACTTACAAAAAAATTAATTTAAAAAATCGTAAAATAACGCTGTATTTTAAATCAGTGAAAAAACTTATGATACACCATGTACAAAAAAAAATGTTCGATTATTTTATATTTATGAACAAAATATTGTATTAAAAAAAAACACGAATTAAACTACAAAAATAAAAAATATATATTTTATTGTGTATATACCAAGTTTAGAGACGGTGAATTTGATGGTAGTTTCAGATTTTTATAATTATTTCTTTACTGAATTACAAAAAAAAAAAAGCCTAAAACTGATTTTGACAAAATTTTTAAAATTAGTAAGAAATTTTTTTGAAAACATACTTTTTTTTTAAATTATACGTCATAATACAGTCAATAAAACATACACATAGATATATTTAACGTTATCATATTATATAAAATAGGTCCTGAGTATATTATAACTGATAACGAATATATTTGTTTTGAAAAGGCTCCACTCGTTTTCTCAAATTTTCTTCAATTTTTTACCTTTTTACGTTGATGAATAGTGATATAAGACTTTTCCACTAATTTACTACCTGATATGTAGTTACGTTATTTATGAACGTAAAGTACCTACATTTAGGCCTGATAAAAATGTTGGTACTTTTTATGTTTGAAGTTTACTCTGCGTCGGTCGAAGCCATTTTACTATTTTATACAATATTATTTACGAAACTAAAACGTCTGGAATTTGTATTGATTTGTTAATTTTCATTGGTGAGTAATTAAATTCAAAAAAAAAAAAAAAAATGTTAATATGAAAAATGCGCTTCGATCGATGTAAAGAATACTCGTTTATAAACCCGTACGTTTTTTTTTGAATCCAACCGCAGAAAGTTCCTCGATATTTTTGTCAGGCGTTTCGGTCTTTTTGACGAAAATTTCACGGTGACCGCTTAATACATTGTTGTTAATAATTAATTTTTATTTTAATTATTATAATCGATCTGCGATGGCGTTATTACTGTTTTAAATCGCGTTAAATTTTAATGTTTAGACTTAGAACAATATGGGTATTATTATAATATCCAGTCGAGTATTGTTTTCGCTACAATGTTATCATATAGGTGACTGATATAATATTATAATATAATACGAGCATATTATTATTTTTATTATTATAAGTTATAACGGCTGAAACCGTATACGCGCCTTTGTTTGTAACGTATTAGAATAATGAAAATGCGCGTACAGTTTATCGTGATTAAAAAAAAAAACCCCGTGAATTCTGTGCCGTCCGGTCGGCGGTGGTGATGGTGTCGGTCGTATTGTTTGGTCGCGTATAGCTTATGACCCGTAAGTAACGTTAAGACCGTATAAGTAATTTTTTTTTTCTTTTTAATTTACAAATACGTACACAGATGCAACGCGAACATTTTTCATGAAAAACAAAGACGAACGTGTTTTATTTTTTTATCCGAAAAAAAAAAAATCTAGGTCAACGACTCAACGATTCGACTAATTGTAGTCCTTTGGTCCGGGTTAATTATATGCATTTTTTTTTTTTTTAATATTGTATTTTATGTAATTGTTTTTATTTATTTTTCGGTCTAAATGATATAAAGGTCTGAATGGCATGTGTTATACTGACAACTAAAATATATTTAGTCACTTTTGATCGGCAAAAAAGGCGTAAATCATATCATTTTAAGACTCAAGTCTGCGTTCAGGGTAGGCCATTTAGTAATTTAGTCGTCTAGAAATTATGTGGTTATGCCAGTTAGCAATTTTCAAATATAGTTTACGTCCGTGTAATTCACCCCCCCCCCTTCCCTCATGACTATATCGTTCGCGATAAATTGTAAGTTATAGCTCTTTAATTGTAAGTAAATGTAATTTCATTCCCGGAATATGTAAGTTGACCTTATCCCCAAATATCCAAGGAGAGCTTTTGGACGACAGGCCCCCAACATGGCCAAATCGATCCGGATAAGGTATTTATTAGGTTTGTATATTTTTATTCATACAGAAAAATATAATGAACACCACTAATGAAGTTTTTTATTAAGTTTGATATTACTTTTAAATTAAGTGTACATGAAATTATTATATTATTAAAAAACTGTAATTAACCGAAATACTTATTAAATTTATACTACACGGAAAAGTAATAAATAATAATGATGAAATATTCTGTAAGAATCTCTATATCGATATGGAAAGTTTTATTTCAGGTTTTTGTTCATACAGAAAAAACCGATATGATCCTTAAAAAATAGATTTGTTTAGTATAGTAATAC